AGCCAAAAATAAATAAATAAAATAAATTAATTTAAAAAATTGCTTTCGGGGGGAGGGATAAATTGGGAGACTGGGATTGACATATACATACTACTGTATATAAAATAGATAACTGATAAGGACCTACTGTATAGCACAGGGAACTCTACTCAATACTCTGTAATCACCTATATGGGAAAAGAATCCAAAAAAGAGTGGATATAGGTATATGTATAACTGATTCACTTTGCTGTACAGCAGAAACTAACACAACACTGTAAATCAACTATCCTCCAATAAAAAAACAAAACAAAAAAAAACCCCCAAAAAACAAAACAAAAAAGAACATCTGGTCTAATCCCCTCTTACAGAAACCAAGGCCCTGAAAGGTTTGTCTTCCTATCTAATCCATTTCCCCCAAGGGATCCAGCGACCACCATTCCTCCACACTGACTCCGACTTGAATGCTCACTCTCCCTTGATGGTTCCCTCTCCCAGGTCTCCAAGAACCTAGCAACACCAGGCCTGTGGCTCCTGTGCAGACCCGTCCCACAACTGCCTCCCCCACCTTCCTCAGCCCCCCGCTTGCGGATTGGGCTGCCCCAGTAATTCTGTGGGTCGGCTTTTGAACCCTAACTACTATCTCTGTATCCCTCAGAAAGTTCTTCACCCTTTCAAAGTCTCATTATCATCATCTAAGAATATGGGAAATCAGACTGGCTCCTTCTTCATAGTGTTTCTGTGCCGTGACAGTTACAAGTCACACACCTCACGTGTGGCACAAAGGCAGCTCGTTAGCTTCTGCTATTGTTAGTCCACAGGACAAAGTCCAAGCTCCTTGATGTGACTTTGGCTGACAAGACCCTTCACCGTCTGTCCCCTGTCTACCCAGCCTCACCTCCAGCCATTGCCACCATGTCCGTCAAGGCTCAAACCCCTAAGATTTGTGGGGCTAGGGACAAAATTACAAATGGATGTCCACATACCACATGTCTAAGTTTTAGATTCCAAATATGTGACAGTGACAGTGATGGTATCAAGCTGTTAAATATATTCTATCCTCCCCTGAAAAACCATCTGGAAGGCCAGGTTTGAATTGAGAATTCTGACTCCCGGAGACCCGTGCTGGCCCATGGTGTAGGGAGAGCTAGCCCCAGCCTGCCCTCCCCTTCCCTTCCCACCCTGGTCCCATCTCACGCTGTGGGAAGTACTGTGCACACGTGTGCGGACTGCCCAGCTTAGACATCCAAGTTCGGCTTACAGGCTCTGCAAACATCCCTCCTTGGACTTTGGAGTCTACACAGGGAGGTGTATTCTACCCTCAAGAGGACAGAAGTGGACTTGGCACTGCTGGGGCAAGAAATTCTGAGGTCTCCAGTACCTGGGGATGGTCTAGCAGGGGAGGATGTGACTGGGGTGGGCATTTCCCTCTGAGCCCCGAAGAGGGGCTCAGCAAGGCAAGCACTGACCTTCTCAGCAGGTGCTTGCCACTGCAGTGAGCACAGTGTGCCAGGGGCTGTCAGTGCACTGTCCCAGCGGCTCCTTGCAGCAGTGTATCTGGGAGCCACCCCGAGAAGTTTTCACCATCCCCATTGTACAGAAGAGGAAAATGAAACTCAAGAGACGGGGCCTGAGGCAGAGGCATCCGTTCCTGGTACTGAATCCAGTGCTGTTTCAGCGGCCCCACCCACACCAAAGCAGCAAGAGTGGGAGCGGCTGTGCTGGCTGGTCCAGGTGCCCGCAGCTTCTGCAGGGTCACTGGGCTGCTCCTTTATACTCCGTATGCTAGTTGAACCATACTTTTCATAATAAACCCCTTAGGTTATATTTGAGTTTGGCCATTATAAATAACACTATAATAAACATCTTTGTAGGCAGATTTTTCCTTCCCTTGGGTGATGGCTCCTGGTGCCAAGTGTCATTTCCTTTCCAAAAAGCTTGTCCCCAATTACACTCTGACTCGTAGCCTTTGAGAGCACCTCTCACTGCACTCTGGCCAGAATCACGTATTATAATTTAAACACATTCTCTGAAGACATGATAGGTAATAACTGGCATCCTGTCGCCTTCACGTGAATTTTCTGACTGCCAGGAAGGTTAAACATGTTTCTGTTGTTTACTAGTTATATTGCCTTCTGTGTGATCGGTTCAGTCTCCTGCTCATTAACTGCTGGGGTCCTAATGGCTTTCCTGTCAACTTTCATGATGATAACCATTTGTCATATTTCCTAAACATACTTTTCAAAGTTTTGTGGTATCCAGTCTTTTTTGGTTGTTGTTTAAAGTGTTCATATATTATCAAATCTGATTTTTCCTAGCACTTCTGTCCCTTGAAAGTTCTCTTCCCTCTAGGGCTGTGATTTCTATTCTACTTTCTTCAAAAGTACTACTTTCCTTTGGCTGTATTTTTATATTTTACTTTTTAGTCCATTTGGAATTTATTTTGATGCATGCTATGAGGAGAGGGTCAAAAACCTTTTTGAAAGCTATATTTGGAAAAAGCAATGAACAAGAAGAGGAGTCAGTTTGGGGCCGGCTGTGTGATATCAACAGACAACTGAACGAGGCAGAGGCCAGGGACTGTTCAGTTTTCACTTTTTTTTATCAAGGAGAATGATCTCGGAACCTCAGAAAGAAGATCAAACATGGATCAGAAGAGAGAGGTGCCCAGGAGAGGCAAGAGGGGAGCAAAAGGACGCAAGGGTCCGAATCTAAAAGAATGATCTCTGGGGCAACAGAGGAGGGAGGCGGCCTACTTGTGAGGAAAGAGCCCCCACTGAGAGTCAGAAGATCTGGGTTGGAATCCTGACTCTGCCCCAAGTTCCTGCCTTCCTCTGGGTCTCAGTGTCCACAGTTATTTATTCGTTTACGCATGCCAACTCTGTCTCAAACACAACACTGCAGGCGGCGATGGGCTTACAGAGATAAACAGGACAGTCCCTGCCCTCCAGGGGCTTATAAGAGTTGATGCATAAGAGAACCCTTATGCATAACAGAGTGATGAGTGTCTTGGGAGCTCAGAAGAGGAGCACCTAATACAGCCTTGGGAAGGGAAGCAGATAAAACATGGAGGTGTGAAATGGGCATAGACTTTGGTACGGGCAGAGTGGAGAGTAATTTTGGGTGCAAGAAGGAGCGGTCAGGACAAGGAAGGGGTTGGAGGGCCCAGAGCATGGAGCGCTATGCTATGGAGTTGGAATTTTACCCTGCAGGCCAGTGGTTCTCACACTTGAGCCTGTATCCAACTCACCTGGAGGGCCATTAAGCAGACTGCTGGGCCCACCTCCAGAGTTTCTCATTCACAGCCTAAGGTGGAGTCCCAAAATGCACTTCTGACAAGTTTCCAGGTGATACTGATGCTACTGGAAAGGAGAAAGCACTCTGAGAACTGCTGCATTTGGACAACGGGGACCCATTAAGCAGGAGAATGAACCAACCAGATGAACCAATCATCACTTTAGGATGATTCTTTTGGATACAGGTGTGGAGAATGGATTAGAGGGAGGCCTGATTGGATGCAGGGAGATAGGAAGCTGCTGAAATAATCCAAGGAAGACATTTTTAAAAGGGAGAACCACAGATCTGGAGGCTGAATGACTGAATAGAGAAGGCAGAGGAGATGGAAGAATTGAGCATGCTTCCCAGGATTTGAGCCATGAGTTTGTAAGAATCAAGGACTCTCCCTAGAACTTACCATTGCGTACGGTACACTGTAAATGCTCACTGAATATCTGCTGATAAGTCGTTCCTTTAAAGTGAGGCAAGGTTGAGTCCACTGGATTTAGAATCAGAAGGTCACTGCCACAGAGGGATAGGTTTGGAAGACAGAGTGGAGAGCGCTGAGAAACAGAAGGGGGAAAACATGGAGATACGTATCGTGGACAGCTGATGACTCTTCCCAGAAACTTGAAAAAGAAGGGAAGGAGAAAGGGTGAATACCAGCTGAAGAGGGGGCTTTCTTTCTTTCTTTTTTTTTTTTTGCTGCGTCGTGGCATGCGGGATCTTAGTTTCCCGACCAGGGATTGAACCCGTGCCCCCTGCAGTGGAAGCGTGGAGTCTTAACCACTGGACTGCCAGGGAAGTCCCTGCGGCTTTCATTTTTGAGGTGAGAGAAATGAAAAAAAAAATAGCTGAACAAATTTGTAGATGTGAGAGGAAGATCCAGTAAAGAGGTAAGAAAAGAGATCAGTGAAAAAAGACAGTTCCTGAGAAGGTGGGAGGAGATGGCATCCAGAGCTGGGTCTGAGTTCACCTCTATCACTTAACTAGTTGTGTGATCTTAGCAAGTAACTCATCCTCTCTGTGCCTCAGTTTCCTAAACCCCGAGATGGGGATCATAATAGTATCTATCTAACAGGGTCATGGTGAAAACTGAATAAAGGAATTCAAAGAAAGCTGGCAAACTGAAGATCTTAAATGACATCTATGATGAGGATGGTGGAAGGAGGAAGAGGAGGAAGAATAACAGGGATCGTGAGGTAAGTAAGCAAGAGGCTCTGGATGACAGTGATGAAGAGGAGCACAGGGGATGATGCCGTGAGCCCCCGTCCCTGAGCATCTTTCCTCGTGGGGGAGGAGCGATGGGCAGGATGCAGGAGGGGGAACGTGCAGGGAGTCTTCCTGGCCCTCACAGGGGATAATGGATCTGTGAAAAAGAGCTGTGTCCACTGGCCATGGCTGCAAAGGAAATGGTATCCAGGAGAGCTTGTCTCAGAGGCCTGGAAGGGAGACTGTGGGGTGCGCAGCATCGAGCTGGCTCAGCAGAGGCCTCGTCAAGCAGTAGGAGGCGACAGTGTCTGCCAGCCTCACCATGCTTTCCAGGTGCCCTGCACGGAGTCTCCCCAGAGGCAAGGTTGTGTCCACACCGAGCCCATCCTAAGGCTCTGCATCCCTCTCAGGCCTGGACAGAGCACAGGTTTAGGTGCAGATGGATGTTCAGGCCCTGTCTCAGGCCTGGTCCAATAAGGCCTCACATGCGGGGACCTAGTGGCCATTTGCCTTGTGCTAGATTGCTAGCCCACCCCTGTGGCCTTTCACCAGGTGGTCCGTGTCTCTCCTTCCTCTAGGCCTGGCCTCTGACCCCCGCTTTTAGGTTACTTCCTAGGTCAGGCCCTACAGTCTAGACAAAGACTTCACTCCCTAGCGCAACTGGGCTTTTCTAATAGCACCACCACCAATAATAATAATAAAATAATAAATAGTATTCATAATTGCCACAGACAGAACTTACTAAGTGTCAAACACTGTGCTAGGTGCTTCTGTACTTCATCTTGTTTAACTTTTAAACCAACCCTGAATGATGGGTAGAACTACTCCTGCTTTATGAAGTCTAAGGGGCCTAAGTGATTTGTCTAAGAACCCAGCTAACAAGTGACAGGGTCTAAATTTAAACCGGAGTCTGTATGACTCCAAGGCCTAAGCTGCCTTCTCCTCTTCAACCACCGTTGTCTCTCAGATTCAAGGGCCCAGTCCCCCTGGGTGTGAAGTGGGGCCCTGGCCGGCCTCTTAGATCCCTCCGCCTTCCCCAAGGAGTGAACAAAAGCTGCAAGGTCAGGCCTGGGTCAAGGCTGTCCAGGGGCCAACCTCTAGCCCTTGTCCTCTCCTCCCCGCCTGCTGGGTTGGAACCACACCCACCAACCCAGCCCAGGCCTCAGGCCCAGAGGCCACTCAGCAGTGAGGCCAGCTTTCCGGGGTTTCCCAAGTGAGGACAAGACGATTGGGAAGGCAGCTCCCCGGGGCTCTGAAGTGCTGGGTCAGCAGCATCCTGGGGCCCGGTGGGGGTGTCTGGCAGAGGCAGTGGACACAGCACGAGAAGCTCTGCCTCTCACATGTCCCGTCCTCTCCAGGTCCCAGGGCTCCGTCCTCAGGACCACAGACAGGGCGTCTCCAGCCTTCATCAAATGCTAGGAGGAGGATGCTGAGGGCACAGCACCTACTACACTGCATTATAACTAGTTCGGGGACTGTCTCTCCCATGAGACTGAGTGACTTTCTGTTTCCAGGGAGCAGCATAGTGACAGCACAGAGAACACCTGACGATGCCTGGCAAATGAGTAAGCGCGTGGAGGGGTGGAGCCAGATGTGCCTCTGAGAAGAACTTCACAAGAGCTGGAGGCCGCCCCTCCCTCCATGGCCCACATATACCTGCATCTCCGTGTCCCCAGCTCCTCCCCTCCCCCTGACCTCAGCTTCCCCGCTCAACAGTCCGCTGGTGCTCCTCTGAGCTGCCCCGAGGCCTGCTGGGAACTCCTCCACCTGCTTGATGACTTGGCCTCCTGGGATCTGAGAGATAAAGGGCCTTTAGAGGTAACTTGTTTAGAGTTAGCTGTGCTACTGCCCAGCGAATCAGGAAATCAAACAGCCACAAATGGTGAAGAGGACAGCTCCCATGTGGATGAAGAAAGCATGGTCAGCCCTAGGACAGGCTGTTTTTGGGCTGTTTGGTCTTCCTTTCCTATATCTTTCCCTTTCTCATACCCTGTCAGGACTCCTGGGAATCAGGAAGTTACACAGGCAGTGAGCGACTGCTCACATAGCGAGCGGCAGGCAGCGGCCCTGACTGAGGCCTAATACCTGTCCCAGCCCTGCCCAGCTAGGCCTTGGCTCCCAAACACAGAGCTGCCTCCTGCCAGAATTCTGCAGGTGAGGCTCCAGACAGGTGCAGAGGGCTCTCCAGTAGGCCAGGGGCTGCATGGTTAGAAACATAACTGCAGGAGCAGGGCAAGCCTGCAGCTGGGCACCAGACAGGAGGGGGCCTGGAGAAGCAGCCTCTCCCACATTTACCTGGGTCTCCGACGCCAGAGAAGTGAAGCAGGGCATGAGAGAGGTCCTGCGAAGGCATTAGCCCTGGGCTTGGGGTGGAGGAGGGCACTACAGAGGCTTCCAGGGTAACCAAAAGGGCCTGGCTGGGCCCACTCGGGCGAGGCCGTAGGCATCACTGGTTTTCCTCTGGCAGCTCACTCTAAAGGCCCCAATTATCTTTGACTTTGGAGTCAAGGAAGCCTTATGAACTTCAGAGGACTCCTTCCCAGCTCCTCTCTCCCCTTTCCACTCACATCTCCCAACCCCGGGAAGGAGTCCTCACCAAGGACCACGGGGCTGGTCCTAGATCCCTGGGCATGGCCGCAACAGGACACAGACATCGGCACAATGAGCATGTGCCTGAGCACGGCCCACACCTCTTCATCCCAACTGCTCCAGTTAGTTCCTTGAACAGGCCTGCCACCAAGGCCAGGCCAGGCAGTAAGGTCCTGAGTCTTTCGGGGAGAAGTGAGGCCCTGCTGTCTGCTCCCTGAGTGGCCTGAGTCTTCCAACTCTAGTTGGCTTCCTTCCTTTTCTTCTTTCTTTCCAGACTCCCTTGGATGACTTGTAAGAGTCTTGAATTAACTGTCCTTGGTGTTCTTGGAAGGACCATGTGACAACACCCACCTGGCTGGCCCTGACCCACCCTTTGGCCCGGCCTCCTGATATGGGTCGCCTGTCCTATCCCAGTGTGCCCAGCAAGAAGCAGGATCTGGTGTTTGAGCCAATTCCAGATCATTTGTGGTGGCTGGGCATTGAGGGGTGAGAAAAGCAAAGGGGATCAGGGCCCTGCCCTCCAGGAGCTCCTTTGACAGGTGTCGATGAGCAGAGGAAAGGATATGCCAGGAGGGGGTGGGACGATGGGCAGAAGGCAGGGTGAGGAAGCAGCCCACAGGCTCTCTGGGGTTCCCCGGGGCAGACCCAATTTCCTCCCATTTCTCCCTTAAAGGTGCCTACCTGTGATCCCAATTCTCTTGCCTTCAAGACAAAGAGAAGGGCTCTGAGGACACTAGATGCTCAGGTCCTAGGGTTCTGAAAACGGAGGGGTGCCCCCTCAGCCCCCACACGCCGCCTACTGTGCATGGGCAGCTGGTTTGCTCGCCGCTGGGGCTGGCTAAGGTCAAACCCTTTCCTCCCCTCTGGGGACGCTGGCTGCCACATTCAGCCTGGCTCTGAGATGGGCTCCCCTCTCCCCACTGTCCCACCTACCTGAATTTCTGGACCTGACTTCTGTCTTCGCTCTCGCTTGCTACCTACTTGACACTGCCTGCACTTGGCCTTGCTTGGGAAAAGGCTGTGGAGTTAAACCAAATTGCACTGAGACGTCCATAGGCAGGAGGAGCTGTTCCAGCCCCCCAGCTCTCCTCTAAACCTCCAGGAAGAACAACTAGCTGCTCACTGTAGGCGGAGCGCTGTCTGTCATCATTCTCCTCTGTAGGAGGCTTGGGTGTTGGAAGATGAATGGCCTGAACTCTGCGGCGCCCCTCCCCTGGGGTGGCTGGTGACAGCTGGTTGAGGGGAGAGGGGGAAGGAGCCTGGACAAGTTGGCCCAGGGCTGAGAGACAGAGGACTCGGGAGGGGCCTCACTGGGTGGTCCAGTAAGGAGCAGTCTGACCCTACTTGGCCGTATAAGCTCTCTTAAGAAACGGGCCCAGACCCTTGTCTGCCTAGACCAATAAGTACAGAACCTGGCCATTGCCACAGTGGAACCAGACTCAATGGCAGGTGGGGGACACAACCACAAGTCAGTGGTAAAAGCAGAGAGTGGAGAGAGGTCAGGACTTCAGGTTTGGGAACTGGCACCCTCAAGTTGAGGGGTCTGCTATCCCTGTGGAATGGCCCCAGGGTCCAAATAAGGCCTTCTTCCCCTGGCTGGGAATGAGGGGGGACCCACACGACCACAGTTAGAGAGACCTCACAGAGGGTAAGAGGGACTTGGGGGGCAAGTAGAAAGTGAGGGCGGGGGTTGTGAAGATCAGCAGTAAAGCTGGGTCTAGCCGGGTGACAGCTTTCCATACCGGGGGGCTGAGGCCAGGGAAGGGCCCACAGGGTCTGCTGAGGAGGCACCTGGGGTCTGGCTAGAGAAGGCTGAGGACGGACCTGCAGCCTGGGTCTCTGGAGGCAGGTAGCAGATAGCAGGCACATCAGCTCCCGGAGTCTGGGCCAGTGGCCTTGGCATCTCCTGGCCTCTCTGCCCCCTGGTTGCATCTGGGTCCTTGACGCCTCTTTTGAAAGGTTCCTACTTGTTCTCTGCCTGGTTCAGGGAAAGGGGGCTGACTGGGAAGCTGGGCAGGGCCAGGGCAAGAGGGGAAGGAGCTGCGGCACAGGGAGCTCACCACTCTCTCCTTGTAGACGATGTATTTCAACCACTTGAAGTCCTGCCACTTGAAGCCAGCGAGGACAAAGAGAGAATCCCGTTCGTATTGCTCGGGCCGCTGCATGGCACCCTCAGGGTAGGTGATGCGCAGCGTAGTCTTGCTGCCCACGTCCTTCTCAAAGCCTTTCACTGGTGCTGAGTTCAGTCTGCAGAGAGTGGGCCCAGTCAGAGACTGCCTTGGGCTCACTGCATGTGGTCTGTAGGCCTGCGTGTGGGGAGGCACCATGACCCCAGAATACCCCAGATGCAGAGGACAGGGAGCCCAGGCCTTGGGCTTTCCGTTCCAAAGCCCTCCAACCCAGGGTTCTTCTTGAGGCTTCTACTGACCTCCAGCCCAATGGGCCAGATGGACAGACAGTTCTCAGTGGGCTCAGGGACCAGGACATGAAGGTGCCTGAGGCACTGCTTTGAGGAGCTCACCTGACCACAATGTCGTAGTCATCAATTCGTGACCCCAGAGACTTGTTGGCAAGGACACCTCCATTGCCCACGATGATGCAGCGGCGGCAGCTGAGGCTGAGGGGACAGACGCAGAGACCTCTGGAGAGCTGTCCACCAGGTCTCCTCTCCCCCTGCCCCTTTGGCCCCTGACCCCCATGCCCTTGACCAGGCACGGGCTGGGACAGAGGAGGCGGACCAGTGAGGTTCTGGCAGCATTTCTGAGAGGCCGGAACCACGCTGCGGAGAGCTAGGGCTCTCAGATACCCCTGGTCCCTGACACTTCTCCAGGGAAACATGGGTGTGGAAGGGGCTTGGGCACTAGCTCTGGGGTGGTGAGGAAGGAGCTCTGGTAAGATGGCATTCTGGGTTAAAGACTCCCCAAGGGTTAGTGGGTTTGGGCCGCCTTCAGAGGAGAGGGAAAAGTGGGCTGAGCTTGAGGGCTACGCTAGAGAAGCAAGAACAGAGGAATGAGCCTGGAGGCTCCAGGACTCAAGGCTGGACTTATTTTTAACTCAGAAGCCCCCATGCACCCAGTAGCCAGCTGAGAACCCTACTCACTTTGCTTCTCGCACCTCTGACCCTGGGGCTTCCCCCACCTAGGGTCTGTTGGCTTCAGAGCTGTCACTGCCTCCTGGATTTAAGCCCCTTTGGCTGCCCCAGCACCCAGCCACTCAGTCCCAGTGCTGAGCTGATCCCAGCCCAGGACGTTCAGTTCTTTCCCTCAGATCTCCGCTGCCTGAGGACTGAAATGTCCTGCCAACTGCTTATAGCCCACGGGGGTGGCCAGTCCAGTGCGGTGGCCCCACTTCCCTGCTCACCCACCCCAGTGTGTATGCGTGTGTGGGTGTGTGGGTGTGCTGGAGAATCTGCCCAGGTCCAGGGAAGGCCAGCTGGGCCTCAGCCCCTCTGCACACGCTGGGCAGCCGAGGCGCAGGATACTGGGCAGCGAGTGGCTCACCTGTCCAAGGCAGGGGTCAGGCGGTACTCTTTGGTGACGGACAAGATGGCTTTGATCAGATTATCTGTGGACAGAGGAGGGAGGCAACTGTTAGAGGGTCACTTAAGGGTTCCCATGAGATGTTTGCTGATGAGCCGATTTGAAGGCACGTGGTCCTGGGGCTAGGGTGGACGTGAAGGTTGGGGAGGGAGCTCCGGACACAAGGCTGGGCCACTGGCCTAACTTTCTCCCTGAGATAGGAGATGGAGGCAGGAGAAGAGGCGGCACACACATCTCTGCCTGGAGCCAGCCCCCGGCACCCGCGCACAGCTCCTTCCTCAGGCTTCCCTGGCCCTTCCCTGGCAGTCTCGGCTGGCTGTCGGAGGCTCTGCCGTCAGGCCCTGGGACATGCGCCCCCAGGCGTGGGCCTTGCCTGGCAGCTGGGGCATCTCAGTGTCCCCCAGAATGGCAATGCCGGTCAGAGGCAGAGACCATGTGCTCACTTCTGTGCCTCCACCAAGCAGACACCAGGAAGCAAACAAGGAGCCAACCAGTGGTGAAGAGCTAGAGTGCTCCCAGCCAGCTCCCTGGGCCAGGCCGCTCCGCCTCATTTTCTGATACCATCTTCCCCTCCCTTCCTCCCTCTAACACTGCTGACCTCTAATCCTGTTCTTGCCAGGCTGTCTCTACCTCCTTACCTCTTCAAGCCCTGTGGCCTGGCGTCTGCCCACCTGCACTCCGCTCAGGCTGCCCCTCAGCAAGGGCCCCGTGACCTCTGTGCTCTCAGATCCCGTGACCATATTCAGACCTCATTCTTCTTGACCTCTCTCTGGTTTTGGCAATGATGACTGCTCTCCTTTCAAACTCTGGTATAATGAGAGCATTATAATATAACAGATAATGGTATCAGCCTCGGACTCAAATCCTGGCTCTGCTGCTTATGAGCTCTGTGACCTTCGATAAATCGCTTACGTTCTTTGAGCTTTAGTTTCCTCATCTTCCAAATGAAGATGGTAATTCCTGCTGTGTAGAATTGTTAGGAAGACAAAAAGGTAATGTACATAAAGACCTAAAGATAAGTAAGTCGGTACAATCACAGTGAAAAGCATCTTAATATCAAGTAAAGATGTAGCTGTGCATAGACTAAAATCTTGCAACTCTACTCCTAGGTGGAGAGCATCAGAAAACTCACACATTTGTTTAAGGAGACTTGTACAAGAATGTTCATTGCAGAACTGTTGGTAATAGCGAAATGTTGGAGGCAACCTAAAAGTCCACCGAAGGAGGGCTTCCCTGGTGGCACAGTGGTTGAGAGTCCGCCTGCCGATGCAGGGGACACGGGTTCGTGCCCCAGTCCGGGAAGATCCCACATGCCGTGGAACGGCTGGGCCCGTGAGCCATGTTCACTGAGCCTGTGCGTCCGGAGCCTGTGCTCCGCAACGGGAGAGGCCACAACAGTGAGAGGCCCTCATACCGAAAAAAAAAAAAAAAAAAAAAAAAGTCCACCGAAGGAAAATAGATTAAATGTGGTACATGGAATACTACACAGCAGTTGCAAAATCAGTGACCTAGAGTTATGTGTACCAATACAGATACATCTGAAAAGCGTAAGCAAAAAAATCAATTTGAAAAATACACACACACAAGTACGATATACGATACTGTTTGTAAAGTGCAAAAACCATGCCATATATATATATATATTTTTTGGACCGGGGCACGAACCCGTGTCCCCTGCATCGGCAGGCGGACTCTCAACCACTGCGCCACCAGGGAAGCCCATCCATGCCGTGTTTTAAACAGATATATAAATATGCTGTAGAAATATATAAACAGGCATGGAATGACAACCAGGATACTGGTCTCCTGGAGAAGGCGGGGAACGGAGGGGGACGGGCTACACAGAGCTTGAGTCGTATCTCACGTTTTATTTCCGAAGCTGGGTACGAGAGTACGTGGGTGCTCATTATATTATTTTTTATGCTTTTTTATATGCCTGAAATACTTCATGTAAAGAAAGGATGCCTCTGAAATTAAACACAGCAACCTCATAATTTTTTTTAAAAGATGGACTGGACGACACTGTCAGATGCAGCCAAGATGTCAAGTTAGGGAATGAAAAGCATCCTTTGGATCTCCTGGGGGCACTGAGCAGTTTCACTGAAGTGGTGAGGGGAGAAGATATTCTTCAAGAGTAAATGGTGAGTAAGAGGAGACAGTTGGCACGGGCAATCTTTCTAGAAGTCGCATGAGAAAGCGTAAGGAAACAAACCTTGAAGGAAATGTTCTGTACTAAGTGCCTTCAGATACACTTCATGGTGGGCCTCGGGGAAGGTCACAGATCCCTTCCTTTACCCGCCTCCAATTTCACGTCTAAGGAAAAGCGTACTGCTGCTCACTGGCCAAGGCCAAGGGTGTGGACTGGGCTTTTGTTTTCTAGGAGGGGAACCTGAGCAGAATGGTCATAAACTGTGGGGTGCTTTTTCTTGCTGGATGGTGGGCTGTGTATCGGGCTTTCCTGCCCTTCATGGCTTAGCAGGATCCGAATCTTGAGTGAGGATTTAGGAGCAAAGTTAGGCTGCTTGGCTACCTGCACCCATGAAAAAGGAGTTCTTCATGGGGTTCAACCCAACCCATGAGATTTGTCCTTGGAGGTTGAAGGTCAAAGCTCCAGTTCAAGAGTACCCTTTTGCTGGCCACTGTCTTTTTTTCAGGGAGGCGTGGGCCAGCTAGGTAGAGGGTTCAGGCGTTCTTGAGTCTGCTGGCCAAATGATATCACCCCTTTAACCGTTATCTTATTTAATTCTGACCACAACCTAATACAGTGGTATTATTCTCTCCATTTAACTGATGAAGAAACTAAAGCAAAACATGTTAGTAACTTGTCCATGGTCACAGCTAATAAAGAGGTAGTACTGGGACCGGAGCCTTCTATGTCTGACGCTAAAGCTGAAACTCTACCATGCCATGAAATAGGGCAGTAACTTGACACGGAAAGAGAACTGTAAAACTCTCAGGGATGGGAAAGTCTTATGTCAGGAACTGCATGGGTGAGGTCCTTGAGGCAATAGAAGGGGACAGTTCTGAGAGTATAGGGGGAAAGGTTAGCCTTGGACAGGATAAAAAAGGACTGGAGGGGAGGCTAGGTTAAGGTGAAAAAAATCAGAAGGGGATGATGGAGGGCCCTGGGGGCAGCCGTCTGGATGGCCTCTATTTTCTCTGGGATTTCCCCCCTCATATCTAGTCCTCTAGCACTGCTGTCTCTGGTACCCGTTTTGTGTGATCTCACAGCACAGTGTTCTTCCCTCATCAGAGTCCTTACTGCACTCCAAGTACCTGTGTCTGCATTAGACTGGAACTTTTTGAGGAGAGGAACCACATCTGTCTACTCCACTGTTGTGTACCTAGCCCCCGGCAAAGTGGTGGTTTCTGAGTAAACATTCCACTAAAGAAGTAAGAAAAAAGGAAGGACAGGAAAGAGGGAGAGAAGGTAGGGCATTGTTGAGAGGGGTGGATTCCCAGCAGGGAGACTTCTGAGGGTACAGCCCTGTCCTGACACTGGGGAGGTAGCTTGGGGGATGAGATGTTAATGTAAAGTGGGGCAGGGTTCCCAACATACCTTGACCTTTGATCCCAAAAGGCGGCACAAATTCCCGGATCCTAGCCCACTTGCGGAAGGAGTCATCCAGGAACATGGGTGCTGGCTTGGAGAACCTGGAATACAACAGGGCTGTTGAGAGTCCCAGAGTGCACTAGGCTGCAGTGCTAAGTGGCTTTCTGTCCATCTGCCTTGGCTGTGGGTCCGCCAGAAGCCATCCTCCATGTGCCAGCATCTCCTCCCCACTCCAGCCTGCACATTGGGTAGCTGCTGTGCGGGGTCTGACAGATCCGGTTCAGTGGAGCCTGAGTGTGGAGGAGCAGGCCTGGCCAGTCCTTATGGGGCCAGCTGTAGGAGTGGAGAGGCAAGATGCACACCGCAGGATCAGCATCTCAGAGCGAGAAGCTCCCTGGGAGGTTATCCACGTGCGCATCCATCAAATAGTCACTGCTCGGGCTTCCCTGGTGGCGCAGTGGTTGAGAGTCCGCCTGCCGATGCAGGGGACGTGGGTTCGTGCCCCGGTCCGGGAATATCCCACATGCCGCGGAGCGGCTGGGCCCGTGGGCCGTAGCTGCTGAGCCTCCGTGTCCGGAGCCTGTGCTCTGCAACGGGAGAGGCCACGACAGTGAGAGGCCCGCATATCGCCAAAAAAAAAAAAAAAAAAAAAAAAAAAAATAGTCACTGCTGCCCACGCTGTTCCTGCAATCTGGGAACATGGTGATGAGACACTGTCCAGTGAGCAGAAAAATACCCCAAAATGCAGCCCGTGCAGAGAGACAGAAGTTGGGAGAGAATTCTGGGAGGTGGACCACCCAGGGTGAGGAGGAAGGAGAATTCACGGTGAGAGGGCAAAGCAGGTGAACAGTCATAGGAGTTAGAGGTTTGACAGAAGAAAAAAAATCACAGTATCCTGCAGCGGGGAGGCTTCAGACAAGCAGAAGCCTGAGCACTTTTGCTGGCAGAGAGGAGGACCGAGAGAACGCCAAGCTCCACAGGAGGTGGCGGAGGGACAAGGAGTTTACGGGTAGGGGGAGTTTTGGTCTGGAGGAAAGATGGGAGGGAAAAAGGGGAGAGAAGGAGTCATGCGGTGATGCCAAGTTGTGGAGAGAAAAGGCAAGCCTTGCTCTTCTTGGGAAACCGAGGAGTGGGCAGGGCAGGGGGGAGGCGGGGGGGTGGGGGATGGCATCAGAGGGTTGCAGAAGGAAGTGAGGGCAGAGTGAGAAGGGACAGGAGGAACCAAGCTCTTCAGAGATGCTGGGACAGCACGATTTCACTTGGAACCTAGCACCCTGATTTTGAGACCTTTCAGGTAACCTAGCAGCCCGGGAGATGGCCAGCACCTGGTCACTTCCTGTGTGTTGACCTTGTTGCGGGGTGTGCTTAGGGCCTTCCTGGCTGAGAACGAAGGTGTGGAGGCCTAGGCCTCTGTGGCTGACTCTTGTTTCTAACAGCCTGAATCAGCCCACTGAAAAACTGAAGACTGGAGGAGGGGCCCTCCCAGCCCAGAAGCTGGAACTCACCGTCCCCCAATGAACTCTAACCTCAGCATCCATTTCTCATCCCCATCATCACTAACACCATTACAATCACCAGACCAGGGGGAATAACAGCACTAATCACTTGGAGGTCTATCATTACTAGAGGTTTTGAAGTGAACTTGAAAGAGGCAGAAAACTTTCAGTGCTGCTCCCTCCCCATCCCTTGCTGCTAGGAAGCAACTGTCAACACGTGATAGCGTGGGAGGGCTATTCCCGCACAGCCGCTTCTTCTGGCCTTCTGAGTTAGCACACTTCTCCTCTGTGTAGAAGGGTCACTCATGATTCTCATACCTAGTACACATAATCTAAGTGAATTAATACATTTGATGTTTTACCAGAGGCCCCGAGGATTCTGACCAGAGTCCACAAGGTACCTGGATAAGCCTGGGGCAAGAACCTCTCCTGTGTCGGGACTGAGCTTATGAAAGTTTTGCAGTTTCTCAGTCAGGCATGGACATGATTTTATCTGCCTCCCAATATGTACTGCATGTCATATGCTAGCAAAATCTCCTAAGATCTAGCCAAACGGTCTCAACACATTTTTTCCTTGTCTTCTCTCTTCCTCCATCTTTCAGCTGATGAGAAAGTTCATTATATTAATTTTTACTTAACCCCCCCCCACCCCTTATTGGGCTTCCCTGGTGGCACAGTGGTTAAGAATCCGCTTGCCTGGGCTTCCCTGGTGGCGCAGTGGTTGAGAGTCCGCCTGCCGATGCAGGGGACACAGGTTCGTGCCCCGGTCCGGGAAGATCCCACATGCCGCGGAGCGGCTGGGCCCGTGAGCCATGGCCGCTGAGCCTGCGCGCCCGGAGCCTGTGCTCCGCAACGGGAGAGGCCACAGCAGCCAGCGACCCAAAAAAAGAAAAAAAAAAAAAAAAAAAAGAATCCGCCTGCCAATGCAGAGGACACGGATTCAAGCCCTGGTCCGGGAAGATCCCACATGCCATGGAGCAACTAAGCCCGTGCGCCACAACTACTGAGCCTGCGCTCTAGAGCCCGCAAGCCACAACTACTGAGCCCATGTACCACAACTACTGAAGCCTGCATGCCTAAAGCCCATGCTCCGCAACGAGAAGCCACCGCAATGAGAAGCCTGTGCACCACAAGGAAGAGTAGCCCCCACTTGTCACAACTAGAGAAAACCCACGCGCAGCTACAAAGACCCAACACAGCCAAAAATAAATAAATAAAATAAATAAAATTTTTAAAAACGCCTCATTTTTGGCGCTTATAAAGTGTTAATTTTGGAAAAAAATACAGATAGGCGCGCACACACACACACACACACGTAAAAAATACTCATAATCCTACAACACAGAGACAATTAGCCTTTGGTATATATCCGTACTGACTTTCCTTTTCCCATATTATTTTTTAGATTGTGCTGTAGACTACTTTTTTCACTTTATAATATTATGAAAATATTGCTATGCAAATGGACAGAACAAAAACCATAAGCGGCTGGTAACCTGATTAAAAATGACTTCCCAAAATCAAATGTACAAGGATACACAAATGGAAAAATACCCTGAAACCATTTGATTTTATATTTATATCTCTTTTCTCGTAAGCTGATATCCTTGTTTATAGTGATAGTAACATAATTATTTGCTTTATCCTAATATATCCACACATATAGATACATATATAAAATATGTAGAATAGTTTCAGAATAAAAACACCAGTATTATTACTAATACTACCATTACTAAAAATGATTTAGGGAATACCCCCCAGAGAAATACAGATAAATTACTTTGCTTTTGCAGAATTATTTTGGAATAATCCTGCTGAGTTTACTTTGTCAGCAATACATAGTTAAGTTCATTTGTTTCATTCTGTTTTTGCTTCTAGAGTTTGCTTACCCCTCATATTAATTTAACTTTGTTTTATGATGATATAAAACTATAGGGCTTCCCTGGTGGCGCAGTGGTTGAGAGTCCGCCTGCCGATTCAGGGGACACGGGTTCGTGCCCCGGTTCGGGAAGATCCCACATGCCGTGGAGCGGCTGGGCCTGTGAGCCATGGCCGCTGAGCCTGTGCGTCCGGAGTCTGTGCTCCGCAACGGGAGAGGCCACAACAGTGAGAGGCCCGCATACCACAAAAAACAAACAAACAAACAAAAAAAACAAAAAAAAAAACTATAGAATTCCAAAATTAAATTCACAAAGCAAGATATATTCAGAGAAGTCAAACTTTCATTTCTGTGTCCAACTCCTGTTACTTTTATTCCTGTATAGTATTCATTTTTATTAGTTTTTATTTTTTCCTCATTTTTTTTTTTTGGTATAAGCAAATACATAATATGTGTATGTGAATTCCTAGTCCCTTCTTCTTCTTTTTTTTTTAATTGGGGTATAGTTGCTTTACAATGTTGTGTTACTTTTTGCTGTATAATGAAGTGAATCATCTATATGTATTCATATATCCCCTCCCTCTTGGACCTCCCTCTCACCCTCCATCCCCCATCCCAACCATCTAGGTCACCACAGAGCACTGAGCTGAGCTCCCTGCGCTATATAGCAGGTTCCCACTAGCTATCTGTTTTACACATGGCAGTGCGCATACGTCAATCCCAATCTCCCAATTTATCCCACACCCCACAGCCCGTGTCCACGTCTGCTCTGTATGTCTGCGTCTCTACTCCTGCCCTGTAAATAGGTTCATCTGTACCATTTTTCTAGATTCCACAAATATGTGTCAATATACAGTATTTGTTTTTCTTTTTCTGACTTACTTCACTCTGTATGACAGACTCTAGGTCCATCCACATCTCTACAAATGACCCAGAGTTGTTCCTTTTTTATGGCTGAGTAATATTCCATTGTATATATGTACCACATCTTCTTTATCCATACATCTATATTCAATAAAAAGGTAACGTATACAGTTTTACCTTTTGATTTTTTTCACTATACAATATATCCTGGTAATTACTGCACAGCAGTAGAGGTATATACTTGATTATACTCCATTATGGTTATGTACATATATCATTCAATCAGTCCCCTGGGTGGTTTCCAGTCTGTTGTAGAGTAGGTACCACTAACAGTGGTTACAGTGAATAACTTCATGCATATATCTTTTCTATTTGCCAATGTATCTTTGGAATAGATTCCTAGAAGTGGGTTTGCTGGATCAAAGGGAAAATGCATATATATAATTTTGCTCCATATTGCCAAACTCCCCTCCACCAGGATCACACCATTTCACATTACCCACCAGCAACAAATGACAGTGTCGTTTTCGCCACAGCCTCACCAACAGAGTATACTGTCGAACATTTCAATTTTGCCAGTCTGACAGGAGAGGAACAGTATCTCAGTGTGGTTTTAATTTGCATTTCTTTTACTGTGCGTGGAATTGAACACTGTCTTATATATGGAAGGGCCATTTGTGAATTTTTCTATGAATTTTGTTCATATCTCTTGCCCATTTTTCCAAAAGGTTATGGGTTTTTTCTTTTTTCCCCTAGCTTTATTATGATATAATTGACTATAACTGATATATAACACTGTATAAGTTTAAGGTGTACAACATGTTTTCATACACATATGTGACAATATGATTACTACTAC